GGCCCGAGAGGCTGAGCGAGAGACTGATCCAACATAAGGAGTTGGTGGCTTGAATGGTTCAGGGGAAGCGTCCATAGACGAAACAGAAGGAAGAGATGGGCTAGAAACAGAAGAACCTCCCAGAGAAACGGAAAATGTAATTGTAATGGAAAAAGGGATAGTCTCCTCACGAAGCGTCGCATGCGTCAGCAGCAGCAGCCTCCCGGAGCTGGCCTCGACGAATGTTGCCGTCATTGAGAAAGAGTAAGTTCCCGATCTGAATTTCGAGACAATTGTGCGTGACTTTTTGATTTGGATCCCAGGATTTGATTATTTAGTGATGTATCTTTGTTTGATTATTGAAAAAGTGAGGCTTTGATTCTAGATACACCACGTTCAACTTGTGTGTTGTGTTTGAATTTTAATATTTGTAATTTGGTTTTATTAGTTGCAACGACGTGAAAAGATTAACAACGAGATTTATTACCATGTCCTTCTTCACATGTAATGCCTTCTGCTTCTCCATGAGATATTGGTGCACCTTCTCTTGTTCCAATTCGGGCTTCTAGATCATCTATCAGATCCTCAAGCTCTAGGTATGGTGGAAGATCCAATCAACCTACATATTCTATGGAAGGTGATCTGAAAAATGAGGTATGCGTTCTTACTTGGCATTGTGCACTCATGGTCATGCCAATTAGATAGAATTTAATGTCCGTTGTTTCTCATGTTTTAAGAATCCATGTCGGGCTTGCTTAATGAATGTTGATGAGGATTATGGTTCTCTTGCATTGAGATTTAAGAAAATTGTTTGGTTTTACTTTGCCATTGCTTTGATCTAGAGGATAAAATGAACAAGCTTTGGGTCAATGATTCATAGGTTTGAGTTATTCAACAAATCGATTTGTAAGTTGTGGGATTGAATTATAAATTGATGGTTAGAAATTTGCAAGCATAAATGATCATACTTTTTTTGTCTGGAGACATGGTATGTGTGTGTAGCTTCTGTTTTGTCAGTTTTTTTTGGTATGGATAGCTTGTTTAGAGGTTTGTTAGGCTTGGTTTGATTTTGATCCTTTTAAATAGTTTTTTTTTTGTATGGATAGCTATGTTTTTTCTAATCAGATTTGTAGCTTTAGTTTGACATAAACCTTAGAATTATTCTCTCCTTATACCGCTCACACATTTTTCATGTTTTTGATGAATGTGTACTTGTTTGTATCTTTACTTGTTGATTTTTGTTTCTGAATTCAGATATGGATTATGTACAAGGAGTCTACATCATTTGGTTCAATAAAATGAAGAACTAAAGAGTTTGTGGAGAGTTTAATAGTGGTTTGAATGATGATTTGGTGTTGGGAGATCCTCCTGCGCCAAGGTTTGTGTTGTGGAATGCATAAATTGATTGAAGAGATTTCTAGAAGGCAAGGAGAGTTTAGATGATAGAACTAGGTGTAATACTTTTTGCTTGATTTGGGTAGATGCAAAAAGGCATTGACTGGAAAGAAGAGCTTGATCAAGAACTGGAAAGAAAGCGCACAAGTCAAGTCTGCACGTACTTGTGGATTAAGATTTCACATGACTTATGTTTTTGTATTTCATTTCTGTATTTTGTTGTGTTGTGGATTAAGAACAAATGACTTCATATTTTTGTAAACCAAAAAAATATTTAGATTATATTTATGTTCAATTGGTTTTGTAGGTACAACTGGTCTATTTAGGTACAACTACGTGTATGGGTTACTTATAAGAAAGTACAACTAGATCATTTAGGTACAACTGAGACAATTAAAAATAATCTTTTTAAAAAATTAAAAATTAATTAAAATTGATAATAAAATAAATTTAAACGAAATAAAAAAAAAAATAAAAAAATAAAAATTAAATATGACCCACGTAAGCATGATTTTTGGCGGCGGGATAGTTATTTAAAATCATCACACGTGGTAAAGTGGGCCACGTAAATAAAAAATTGTTTTGTTTTAAACATAGTTGTACCTAGTTGTCCAGTTGTACTCTCATATTCATAGTTGGACTTTAGCGATTTTTGTGTATTTCTAGTTGGACTTTAATAAAAATTAGTAATTTTAAGTTGGACACATGATGTTACACTATTAATTATCATTTAAGAGGTTTTCATAATATAATTTGTAAGAAATCATAATTTTCACCTATTTTGCATTAAAAGAAGTGATCACCTATAAAGTGTTTCTTGTACTATAAAGAGTATTTTATATGAAAACAATAGTATGCACTAAGAAAATGATAAATTCGAGTTTTATTTATTTAAAATTGTTTCTTTATTGTTCCACATGTTTTTGGAGTCCTTGTTAACTCTAATTTATCGTTTTTCATATTTGTTAAATACACATACAAATACATTTATGATCTTAGTTGTACCTTGTCAAAACCTAATTATATCCAGTTGAACATTGTTGTACGAATACGACAAGTACATATATTTATACATATATGGTTATAGTTATGGTTTTAGTTGTACTCAGTATACTTATGGTCTTAGTTGTACTAGTCGAACCTAGTTGTACCCAGTCGAACATGGTTGTACGACAAATACAAAGGATTTTTAGTCATCAAGAATTCTTTTAATTAATAATCATGTATCTTCCACAGGAGCAATGCATTTGGTTCTATTAGGGAATTTCTTATATAAATCTTAATTTATAACTTAATAATTTAATAAAAAATACAAATTTGATGTACCTAGTTGAACTAATAGTATGCATTAGAGCCTGAAACCGTCTTCAATTACTTGGTTTCTTTTACCACTGATCTCACCACCAGTTCTAGCAAGAGCACATTAATTTCTTGTCATCTTCAGAAAATATACTTTGAGACTGCCTATGAAGACTCTGACCTGAGTTTCCTTCAATATTTTCGCAATCTTTTCAAACAAATTCATGTTGTTTTTACCACATTGAGTCTCTTGTTCCAGCACACAGCTGAATATTGTGCACACAAGCTTCCAATGCTTCAACATATCTTTATACGGCTGAACTTAACTCATTTTCAAATGACTTGATCACTCTTCTTTTGCTTTATGTTTATGAGCTTTCACTAACTCATAATAACATATTTCATTCACATCTGTTGTTAAAACCGAAACCATTATGTTTCAACAGTCTCTCTAAGACTCCACCTTTACTCCAACAACAATGTGCCACTGACGCTTATCAACAACAAAGCTTCAATAAATTTTAACCAACCACTAACACACATAAGATTCCTTAAACTAAGGCGTCCCCCAATATCAAGAATCTTAATCCAATGGCTGATCTTTAAACCATACTTGAACACTGCAAATATCTAACTTTAACAACCAGATTTGATTAACAAATCATACAGCCTGAAGCCATTACTAATCTTGGCTATCCATTTGCAGAATCAGTGTTCAAAACCTTGAGCTTCATTATACTCTAATCCTTGAATATATAAACATCGAGTATCCGGAAACCTTCAAAGAGAACATCACATTGTACCTTGTGATTTCAGCGGAAACAGACTATAAGTCTTCAAGAATTGGCCCTTGAGAATTGTTAATCCAACGTTGATCTTTGTAACCATGAGTCACGTCCTTTAACTCACAAATTCTTGTAACAGACGCTTCAACATTACCAATGAATAATCTCCATCATTCAGCATCTAGATATCATCAACACCGATAGTAAATTTTCCCTTTGATCTAGTGTTCTGCAGCAGCCTCAAACCTCTTCTTTCTTGAATAATCTTTGAATCTCTGATTTCATCGCTTGAGCCTAATTGCTTGAACTCATGCATTCCTTGAATCAGTAAACAATATTGCCGGTGAAAGACCTCCACCACATACCATTCTTGATAAACTTTGTAACCTGCGAGTTCTTTTGTCTACTCGCAATAACACAAATCTTCTTGTCACCGAGAGATAGATATTAATTAACTAACAGCTTAACGATTTCGAAATCTTGAAACCAACATCATCCGATGAATCAAATCACCGTGAACATCTTCTTCTTCTACCTCCAATGTCTTCGACCGAGAACATACACAGTCTTCTCTCTTCCCTACCTTGATCAATCGCCATCGATACCGCAGATCTCCAAGCAACCATGGCTCTGTGTCTTCGCTTCAACAATGTCGGGGGAAGGGAAAACACAGATTCGAGATTGGATCGAGAATTCATTTCTCGATTTCAATTGTTTTTTTTTCCTTTTCAAATTAATTCAATTAAAGGATATTGATATTCATTAAGGGTAAAGAAGTATTATCCTATTGTGAGGTGGCATTCAGACTCCAAAATGGCAGTCGGGATTAACATTTCCGGTTCAGTGGCAAACTAGCATGTGTCTCTTGTGGCCGCCTAGTAAAATTATTCAGCTATAATGGGACCAAGTTAAACCAACTGAAAACCAGCAACCAACCGAACCAAAATCAAACTTATTCCATTCGTCCAAAAGTAAATTGTGCACACCATTATGAAAACCCTTGAACCAAAAGTAAATTGTGGATTCCAAAAAGCTCATTAGTTTTTCAAATTCTTATGTTTTCATTTAACGAATAAAAACAATATATTATAATAATAAATACAATTTTTATCCAATTAAATTAATGTTAAATACTTATATTGTTATTTTGAACTTCAATAGTCATTGTTTAATGTTTATTAGTTAATATTCATGCTAACTGAATTTCTTAGAAAACTTAATATTTGCCAAATTTAATTTTCCAAGAACACATGTAACTTTTTTTTGTTAGTTTTCCTTTTGGTTGAAAAAAAAATAATAGTTCATTTTTTTAGTTATAAAAATATAACTTAGTATATGTAAATATGTTATTTTTTCAATTTTCCTATTTATTTTTTTTATGAAAAAAGTAAAATCTTTCCTGACACATGTCAACATCTGATCGATAGATTTGACATGTGCCACGATCATATAAATTGGTAACTTTGAAAACCAAACTTTATATAATAAGAAAATGTTATTCGGTAAAAATCTATTCAATGGCGCAAAAAAAAATTCTTATAGCTAAATATATCAGAAAAATGTTAGTATATATTTTCATCGGGCATATTTTTTTTTTTTAAGAAGTTGAATGCAATTACATGGATGTGTATGGATTATTGATTAATTAATCGTAACAAATTATTAACTTTCAACGGTTAAAAAAAACGTTAAATATGTATAAGCCATTACTATGTAAGTTATAGAAAGAGATGTATGAAATATGGTTGGCTGAGAATGTATGGGTTTTTTTGTGACTTTGGTTTATGTACTTGTATATTATGTCAAAGTTATTATATCTTTCGTAAGAATTGTGAGAGGGCCACGGTAATGAGTACGTAATGGGTAACAAATATACATAGTAAGAAAATAGTTAGAGATATGGAAAAGAAAAGCAATGTCTCTGTTTGTAAGAGACTACCTTGGCTTTGGCAAGATTCCAAAAACAAAAATTTCACCAAAAAGAAAAAAAAAAAAAAAAAAAAAGGAAAGAAAAAAACTTGCTACCCACGCCTATTTCCCTCTTTAATGGTGGAGACTTAAACTTCATTGTGGGTGATAATCTACAATAATGTCTCGGCTTGTCTCCAAGCTCTCTCCCTTCGTAAGCTCTTTCTTTTGCTTGTATTTTTCTTAGATTAGATGGTTTACTTTTTCTACTTTAGATTAGATAGATAAGGTTCGGAGGGTTGAAATTGCTCCTAACTCCTAAGCTTAATTAGAGAAGATGCTTCATTTACTTTTGATTGGGTCTTGATCTCGGTGTTGCTTAACTTGGCAGATTCACAAGAACAGTAGGAGCATTCGTTCGTTTTCATCCTCAACGACCGGCCCATGTGTTTCTATTTGTACCATTATGGAGCCCTCTCCGGACGGCAACCTCGGACAACTCCTGTTGTTCAACATACCAGATTTGAAGTTAGTCACAGCGGACAAAACATATCCCGACGAGCTTTATGACGCCCAGTTGGTGGGAGCTTCCCATGGATGGGGACTTTTCTCCAATAGAACAAATCGGTCGGTACTTCTCAGCGACTATTTGAACCCCTATGCTTCCAAGTCAAAACCAAAGATGATTCATCTGCCATTTTTTACTCCAACGTACTCTGGCCAAACCGAAGTCGTGTGCAACGTGGCAATGTCCTCTCCTCCTCCTGATCAAGACGACGACCAAGAAGATTGGGTCGTTGGCATCAAGTTCTTGGGTAGACAGCTTAGTCTCTGCAGGCCCCGTCGTGACCTTCGTTGGACTAACATCCTAACCCCTTTTGAGTCATGGGAAATCTCAAAACTAATGTATTCCAAGAAAGACCAACGGTTCTATTTGCTTGCTCCTGGAGGCAACTACTTATGCTCCTGGGATCTCAACTTCAAGGAAGACAAGAAGCCTAAGTTCAAGGAAGACAAGAAGCCTAAGTTCCATGAGTTGGTCTTGCACGACCTTCCCAACATGCCACGTTCCCACTCGAAGCTGTTGGATTCATTCAGCAGGGAGGATCATTGGGTGGAGTCACCTTCTGGCGAAAGTTTCCTTGTCAAATGGTAACCTAAGTAAATAGTATTTAAGGAATTTTGCTGAAACAAAAACTAAACACCACCCATTTGGCTTGTAACATGTATGCAGGTACTGTGAATACTCCCCTGAAAACACCAGTAACTGGTGCAAATCACCAACTGTTCTGGTTTTCAGAGAGGAAAGATGGAAGGAAACACATGCGTTACACAGATGACATTGGAGATTTGTGCATTTTCATTTCAAAGGGAGAGGATTTCTGCGTCAAGGCTAGCTCTCACCCTGGACTCCAACCTAACTCCATCTGTTTACATGGCCGTTTGTTTGCGATTCTCAATCTCACAAATAGAACCCTCGGTTGCTACGAATATCCCGAAGGCATACCAAAAAGGATTCCCTATTTACCCTACTGGCTTCCTCCGTTTTCTCCTTAGCGCTCTACTTGCTTCGTTAGTCTTATTGTGTGGTTTGTTCTTTTAGGTTTGGATTACTAAGATCATCTAATTATATTTCTCTAATCTGAGAAAATTGAAGACTTCATTTGGTATTTGGTTGATGTCACATGGAGTAAATATCTGATGTAACTTGTCTTACAATATTTCAGAATCCTATTTTAGGTTTTGTGTTCCCTTACTTTTATGTGCATGAATATGATATGATTAGAGAGATGGTTAAAAGAAATGTTAATGTTTCATGTTAAAAACAAATGAAGTGAATTGTGTATGTAAAATATATTTATAGAAGAATTATACCATTGATCATAATAAACTCCTAATAAGTGAACATAGATGACCGACAGTTAGATCTTAGCAAGTGGAGAGAAAAGTCAAACCGAAGCAAACAAAGCCATACAATCCTAGCACTAGCTAGAAGCTGGAGGAAACCAGTAAGGGGACACAATTTGATTCAGTGCACCTTTGGGAGCTCGAAAAGTAGAGACATCTCTGGTGGTAAGATCGTATGTACCTAAGCCAAAGCCAACAAAATAGATGGAGTTTGGCTTAAGGCCAGGATAAGAGCTTGCCAGGACGCAAAAAGCCTCACTCTTTGAAACAAAGATGCACAAATCTCCAATGTCATCAGTGTAACACATGAATCTTCCTTCCGTAGTCTCCTCCTCTCTAAAAACCATGAACCTCTGCGTTTCGTAGGTGATTTTACTCGAATAAGCCAAACAACCCTTGGCGTACCTGCATTCAAAAACCAAAGATCAATGGTTCAGCAATCATGTATAATTCATATGGTAGTAGCTATATGGAGTAATATAGATATACCATTTGACGAGGAAACGTTCATCTCCGGAGGGTGACTCCACAAAGCGTTCCGTTCTACAAGAAGAAGGAAACATCTCCGACAGTTCGGAGTCATACTTGAACGACTCTGGAAAGTTGCGAAACTGCAACTCATGGAACTCAGGCTGGTCGGCTTTGTCGAAGTCAAGATTGTAGGATAACAAGTGATGGCCTCCAGGACCAGGCAAGTAGAACTTCCGATCTCTCTTGGAATACGTCAGATTCGAGGTTGGAAAGTGGTCAAAAGGGGTTTGGAACTTAGTCCAACGCAAGTCACGACGGGGCCTACAGAAACTCACCTGGTCACCCAAGGACTTGATACCAACAACCCAGTCTTCATCGTCATCAGGACAAGAGGACATTGCCACGTTCCAGATCACATCAGTTTGGCAAGAGAACAGAGGATTAAGTGGAGGCAGAGTTAAGAGCTTGGGGTTTGATTTGCAAGCCCATGGGTTCAAAGAGTCGGTGATGAGTACACAACGGTCTTGTGTGTCAGAGAAAAATGACCATCCCTTGGAAGCTCCGATCCATTTGGCTGTGACGATTTCTTCTGGAATTGCTTTGTCCGTAAGGTTGAGTAACTCTTGTTTAGCAGGGTCGTACAAAACCACTTCTCCGATGTTGAGGACGCCTTCCGACGAGGGTTTTGCACTGAGACTAAGCGACAAATACGGGCCTGTCGTGGAGGATGAAAACGAACGAACGCTCCTCTTGTGAATCTGCCAAAGTAATTAAGCAACGCAAAGTAAATTAATTCTCTTCTCTTAAACATAGTATATCAGCCAAGTTTAAGCAACATAAAGTACATCAATTCTCTTCTCCAAAGAATAAAGGGATCAATCTCAACCCTCCGATCCCTATCCTTGTTTTTTTTTTTCTTTATAACAAATCAATTTTCTTAGGTAAAAAACTTCTAGAAAAGTAGCATGCTCTCTTATTAGTCTTAACAAAAAGGAAAAAAAAAAACATGAAACAAAGACAGAACACAAAAGCAAGAAAGAGCTTACAACGGGAGCGAGCTTGGAGAGAAACCGAGACATTATTGCAGAAGAAACCCAAAAATTAAGTTGATGTACTTTGGAGTCTCTCTACCCTTAACTAAAAGAGAGAGAGGGAGAGAGAAATAGGCGTGAGTAGCAAGCTTTTTCTTTCCTGTTTTCCTTATGGTGAAATTTTCGTTTTTGGAATCTTGCCAAAGCCAAGGTAGTCTCGAGACTAACAGAGACATTGCTTTTCTTTTCCATTTTTTTTTTTTTACTTGTATATTTTGTTACCCATTACGTACTCATTACCATGGCCCACTCACAAATAATAATAATATAACTTTTTTTTTTTTGCTATCTGAGATAACTTTGTTGACAGAATCTAAAAGTACAGTCATAAACCATAAATTCTCAGCCAACCATATTTCATACATCTCTCTACCTAAAACTTAGATTTGTCTCCCACGAGACACGAAGATGCAACTAGAGTCGACACAGTCCATCATGCATCCATATTATTCCATATTCCATATTTCCGTATGGGGTCAAGTAATGGTTATTTACATATTCAAAAAAAAGAAAAGAAATTTTACGGTTGAAAGTTAATAATTTTTCAAGTAATTGCACTCAACTTCTTAAAAAAGATAATAAATATGCCTATGAAAATAGTTACTAACATTTATCTATCAGAAAATTTTGTGTCATTGGATAATATTTATTATAAATTTTAAGTTGTATATATATTTGGTTTATAATATTTATTATCATTTTTTTAAGAAGTTGAATATATATATTGATTGATTTAGCCAATCGAATCAGTGGATGTTGATTGGTTTTTTCAGGTTTTACCAATTCGTAAGTGGTGAGTTTATCAGTAATGAGGAGTCATAAAACTGTAATAACATCGGCGAAAATGTAAACTCTGTTTCGGTACATGAATTCGATTATGGTTCGGTTGGTTGCGTAGATTTTAATCGGGGATAAACTTTAGTCCGGTTACTTGGTTTAGTTATCGGTTTAACTTGGTCCACTAATAAAAGCTGAATGATTAGGCTGGCAAAATGTCCCGCAATGAACCGGAGATTTTGGTTCGAATTAGACCGGTACGGTATAATGAAACTTATGAGCGAAGTTGAAATTCTATAAAAGTTTGTTCCTCGACTCAGCCCAACTATTGCATTCAAGCCGTCTTTTTGAAATCTTCTCCACTCTGATCTTCAGAACCAACAGTAGCAATAGGTTGCTGACCATTTCTGCCAATGGGGGACACGAGAGTACACAAAAGGTGTAGGAAGCCAAGAAGCTGGTGGTACAAAGATAATATAGGATCTGAACTGTAAGAAATTTGTTAAGGATGAGCAAAGCTAGCTTGATATTCTTAGACTCCATACATACGTGACACATAATATTCTTACAGAAGAAGTCTTCAAACTTATAACGGAACATTAGATGATCCTGAAAATTCAAATCCGGTAAACAAGACAGAAGCAACAAAACAATAACAGCAAGGAGAACACTAGGGAGAAAACGGAGGAAGCCAGAAGGGGGAGTAGGGAACTTTTTCTGGTGTACCTTGAGGGTATTCATAGCAACCGAAGGTACCGTTGCTCATATTGAGCGTCGCAAACAAACGTCCATTTAAAAATACCGAGTTAGGGTGGAGGCCAGGGAAAGAGCTCGCCTTGACGCAGAAGTCCTCTCCTTTAGAAATGAAAATGCACAAATCTCCAATGTCATCTGTGTGACGCATGTTTTTCCTCCCAGCTTGTGTGTCCTCCTCTCTAAACACCATTACAATTACAGTCGATGCTTCATACCCTTTAGGGTTGTATTCCGAGTACCTGCAGCCAAAGGTGTTTAGTTTTTTTTGTTTCACAGGAAAATTCCTTCATAAATATTTCTCTAGCTAGTACCATTTGACAAGGAAACATTCGCCTGAAGGTGACTCCACCCAATGATCCTCCCTGCAGTAGGAATCCAACAGCTTCCGTTGGGAACGTGGCAAGTTGGGAAGGTTGTGCAACACCAACTCATGGAACTTAGGCTTCTTGTCTTCCTTAAAATTGAGATCCCAGGAGCATAAGTAGTTGCCTCCAGGAGCAAGCAAATTGAACTTTTGGTCTTTCTTGGAATACATAAGTTTTGAGCTATCCCACGACTCAAAAGGGGTTAGGATGTTAGTCCAACGCAGGTCACAACGGGGCCTGCAGAGACTCAGCTGTCTACCCAAGAACTTGATGCCAACGACCCAATCTTCTTGGTCGTCTTCTTGATCAGGAGGAGGACAGGACATTGCCACGTTGCACACCACTTCGGTTTGGCCAGAGTACATTGGAGTAACAAAAGGCAGAGGAATCATCTTTGGTTGTGACTTGGAAGCATGAGGGTTCAGATAGTCGCTGATAAGTAACGACCGATCTGTTCTATTGGAGAAAAATCCCCATCCATGGGAAGCTCCCACCAACTGGGCGTCATAAAGCTCATTGGGATATGTTTTGTCCGCTCTGACTAACTTGAAATCTGGTATGTTGAACAACAGGACTTGTCCGAGGTTGCCGCCGTCTGGCGAGGGTTCCATAATGCTGCCAATAGAAACACATGGGCCGGTCGTGGAGGATGAAAACGAACGAACGCTCCTACTGCTCTTGTGAATCTACCAAGTAAGCAACACAGAGACCTATCAAAAACTAGTTAAAGTAAATCCTCTATCTATAAGCATATATAGAGCAATCTCAACCCTCCGATCCTTATCTTTTGTTTCTTAATTACTAGAGAAATCCAATTCTCTTCGGTAAAAGACTTAAAAGTAGCATCCTCTCTTATTAGTCTTAACAAAAAGGAAAAAAAAAAACAAAAAAACATGAAACTACACAAAAGCAAGAAAGAGCTTACGAGGGGAACGAGCTTGGAGAGGAGCCGAGACATTATTGCAGAAGAAACCCAAAAATTAAGTTGATGTATTTTGGAGTCTCTCTACCATAAAACTTAAAAGAGAGAAAAATAGGCGTGGCTATCAAGCTTTTTCTCTCCTGTTTTCCTTTTTGGTGAAATTTTCGTTTTTGGAATCTTGCCAAAGCCAAGGTTGTAGTCTCTACTAACAGAGACATTGCTTTTCTTTTCCATTCTTTTTTTTTACCCATACGTACTCATTACCATGGCCCACTCACAGTTCTTATAAAAGAATCTACAAGTACATTAATAAACCATAAATTCTCAGCCAACCATATTTTACGTACTCTCTATCTAAAAACTTACATATGGGGTCTAGTCTAGTAATAATTTTTACATATTCAACGTTTTTTCTTTTGGGACGTTACAATCGATCAAAAATTCAAAATGGGCCTTGTTGTCACCCTTATGTGATCATTTGTAATTGAAAGAACCGGTTTAAAACCAAAAATTCGATTTAAGGATAATTTTCGGTTAGGGGCGTGTAAACCAGACCAAGCTAACGAAATTGAATAGTGATTTCTCTCTCTCTCTCTCTATCACACACTGGGCGCCTGCTTTTTTGGCAAATAACGGCACACAGTAGAGTAACACTATCATGAGACGGCACACTGTTCTCCGGAAAAACTGTTAAGAGACGAGTCTCTCTCCGATAGAAATTTCCGACTCTCCGCCGATTAGATGTGAGGACGCTCTGAAATTTAACTTGCAGGCTTAGATTAGTAGTCTTGAATATTTATTTGTCATTTTCTGAACCATGATATCTATCCTTAAGCTATTTAAATCTCTATGCTCTACAAGCTTGTAGTAAAAGTAAAATTTTTATCATCCTTATTCCTTATGTAGGGTTTGAGAGAACATGTTGGTGAGACCATGATTTCTTGCAGTGGTGTTTGTGAAAGGAGTCTCGCTGTCGCTGATATATATGCTCATAGACGAAACGGCAAAGTGTTGAGAGGAGAACAAACTGCAAAGGTTAGTAACAAAAGAAGGGCTCCAAGTGATTACTTGTTTGAAACTGTTGAGCTTTTGTGTTCTAGTTGCGTGAAATGTGGATTTAGAGATATTTCGTGTGGGTGCAACTGCTTATTGGTTATAGTAGAAGCAAAATATTTGGCTTTAGTTGCTGCACTACCTCCTTGTAAGTCAACTTTCAGTGTGCAGAGCAAGTTATTTCTAAGTGCGCGCTTGTACACTCGGGTTCAAATATATAGATGTTGGAGGTATGTGCTTAGGTGTTTCAGGTGTATATCATCGCTCATGGGTAGAAGATTGGGTAAGGTTGTCGTCATGTCAACTGTAAATCAATGCTATACGAGTTTTAGGTGTAGCTCGTCTCGATCTTACCCTCTTATCAGGGAGATTTTCCCTAATCATGTCAAGGTATATACATTTATATTTGCTCAGAATGATGCTATTAGCTAGTGGGAAAGCTCCATGGCTGTGTTCCAGAGAATTCTGCTTTTGAAGTGTGAGTCAATCACAATCACTTGGGTAGCCTGGAACTTATAACTGTTTCACACTCTGCTTTTTTATTGACACTGTTGAAAATGTAGTAGGAAGCTAAACTCTGTGGATCAGTTTCTTGAATCCTACTCATCCTTCTTTAATTTATATCGTCTTTCAGGGTGGTGCATTGTGATCAGATAGTTAGTTAATTCTGTAACTCTTCAGGAAACGGAAAAAAACATCACACCAACTCTAAATAAGTTGAAGGGACGGTGATGATCTATGCATGTAAACCGGGTATCATGATGATTCTTTAGGCAAAGGAATTCACAACTTGTCTTGAGGGGATATCTTTTGTTGTTCTTAAGCCAAAAATTCGATCATGGTTTCCTTTGATTAATTGAATTGACTTTCATATTACAATCATATTCTAGTTAGTATATATACTTGCTACAGACGGGACAAAAGTCAAAAATGTACTTCAACAAAGAATACAGAAGGTGCCAAACTTGTTTATGGTTAAAATTTTTTTTTTTTTTTTTTTGTTTCTGTTTATACTTATAATAAATATAATGCCATTACCAAAACTTAAAACAACTTGGATAAACTAAAACAGATTTAATATTATAGAACATATTAGGACATAATGTCCCACATCGGAAGTTGTAAGGGATCCTAAGTAATATATAAGGGATATGGGCCACTCCACTCATTGCCAATTGGTTTTGAGTTGGAAGCCCATATTCTAATAGAACATGCACACCAACGATACATGGATTGAAACTGAAGAAACGAAGCAAAGGCACGTGGATAGCGATGGGATAGTCTAAAGCATTACAAACATACATTAAAAAGAAGCATAGGCACGTGTTTTTCGGAGGAGACCAAGTCTAAGAGCTGCTCGGTTTTCAGGTGTTGTTGGTGGGGTTGGGACGCTGGTGGTAACTGACACAGATATCACTTCCGATGTTGGTGTTGTCTTCGTTGACTTTCAAGTACGTCACATCAATCAACCCACTCTTGCCGATGACCTTAAAGATCGTTGTTGTCATGACTGGAGGGTCTATGGGCATACCCTTCTTCGGCGGAGGAGGCATCGGAGTGGAGACCTTGTGAACGAACACGGCTGCTTTCCAATTGTTGTGGAGGTATTCCATCTTCACAGAATCTTCACTAAGCCCCATTGCCTTTGCTGCAGCCCGTGCTAACTCTAGCACGATGCAGTCGTCTTTGTGGAAAGGGTTCTGTTTCACCATCTCTCGGACTGTTTTGTCAAACAGGTTAACAAATGCTGGTCTGACAGATTCCATGATACGCAGTCTTTCAGCCATTTTGGCTGCAGCTTTGGAGAAGGGATTAGACATTGAAAAGGATGAAAAGTATGGAAGAAGAAGAGGAAGCAAAATAAGCAGAAGAATGAGAAGAAGCGTGTGAAACGAGTGTAGAAGAGTGAGTGTGGGTTTGGGGGTTTTTAGTTACAAAACCCACCAACCAATGGCTATTATGGCTTCTTACATGGAAGCAAAATTGAATTCTCCCCATCACGATCATATTGAAGCTATGTTCAAAAAATTGAATTGTATTTGAGAGAGGATGAATAAGACAGCATTAAGTTTGAGAGTGAGAGGTATGAGAAGAAGAAAATGGAAACAGAGCGTTAAGCAACAGAGAGAGGTTTGGAGATTTTAGGAGATTCTCTGTTTTTTTATATGTTACTTCTTTTTACTTTATTACGATATTTAAGATGAGTGTTAATTTGTTGTACACATGAATTGGGTTTTCTCTGTGATTGATTCTTATTTTTTTTCATAGGGTTTCGACAATTCTTCTCTATTTTTAGTTAGGATTTTTATGCTTGAATCTAGCACTAGCTAGCGGTTCACATATTTGGTTTAGTTGCGGTTTGGATCCATTGATTTCGGTTTTCTTGGTTCTCAACTTCAAGACCTATTGTATATAGGAGTTGAAAGAAAATCGGTTTGGTTCCGGTTCGGATACTTCACAGTTCGGATAGTTGAATCATGAACCAAAATAGTTAAGTATTTTTTAGTCTTGGTTCTAAAATACTCGAATAACCAAAAACATTATTATATTTTTGGGTATTTCTTGTATTTTCATGCACTTAAAATATTTTTTGGGTATTTTCTGTTATTTTGGTTCGGATTCATTCGGTTTGGCTTTCTAATTCATGTATTTTTCGATTATTTTAGTATTTAAGGTTATTCGAAATAAAAATAACTAATATATTTGGATATAATTGTATTTCGAGTACCCATAATATTTTGGTTCGGTTCCGGTTCGGTTGAATTTATTTTTTTCTAACATAATTTAATACTTAATAACATAATTTAATATTTAGTTATTTTATTTTATTTTTTGTTTACTTTAATAACATAATTTAATACTTAAATTAAAAATATTAGCCGATGATAAAAGACACTTCAAAATATAAATAGCCACAAAACTCAAGAAAATTATTTTTTTGCAGAGAATTTTCAAAATTTCGAATAAAATAAAACAAAGCAATCCTAAAACATTAATAATATGGAACAACATATTGAAAAGAAAAGATGGTTGGGGAGTTACATTATATTACTCTCTACAAAATTCAAATGAAATGTTTTCTCATATAGATACAATATTTACATTATGTCAGTATATACTAATTAAGGATATTGTAGATTCATGTGATCGAAATTTTTAATGAAAATTATTAAAACTATGAAAACTTTAAGTTGGCACTGTGAGCGTATCCTGTCTTATAGTCTGAAGTCTGAGTGAACTCAGACAGAAGTTCTTTACTTGAATTTAGTACAAATAATAATAAAATACACTAAAATAAATAAATACAGTACTATATGTCTTCTGACAGATCTATGTTGTTCTTCGAAAATGAGTTCAACAAGTACTTTCATGGAAAATCACATATATCTAGAAATCAAGTATGTACTGTATAATTTAACTTTTTTATCTTTCTTTTTGTATAACCTTTGTATCTTAATTTTTTCCTTTTCATATGAATCAAGTAAATTAAACTTTCCCAACAAATTAATGATTTGTTTATTTTAATTTATTAAGCTAGTTATTTAGAAGATAATGAATCGTTTTACATAACTCATCAAAAGGTCCAATAAACATGGAACCAGAGTTTAATATATTTTATTCGCAAAATGTGATAGTGAATCATTTGATGTCGCAATTAAAAACAAAAACGAACTCACTTTGACCTTTGCGTGGAAGAATAGCTAGCTGTCACGCATACATATCATCTACGAATAAATTTGCATGACATAAGAAACTAAATATTTATACGCGAAGTCTAGTTAATTTTTACGTATTCATTTCAGCAGATATGTTATTATTACAGTTTCAGAGAATCAAGATTTGTAGTGATACAGAAGTATATGTCATTTAAAGATCATGTCAGTTAAAGAATAATGCTCTTCGATATTATATTTTTCTATTGTCGTTATTGCTCTTCGTTCTAATTTTAACACAATTGCAAAATGTATGAATTCATTTGAGGACTAAATTTAATTTCCTCTATATTCAATTAAATCGAGGATATGATCTTGCTCTTTGTTCCAGCTTTACAAAAGGTATGGACCAATCTGAGGTCTAACAAGTAACATTAATTAATCTTTATATTCAATAAAATCGATGATATATCTGATTGTGTTGTTGTCTAATGATGACGTGTCGATATTCTGGCATTCTGCTATACTGAGTTCTAACAAGTGATCGATGCCTTGACAAACTATGTTTCCCGAAATTCATTTAGTTTTGTATCTTAGACAAACATTTGTATACAATGTAATTTCTAAGCTATACAAGATATGAATTGCTAAGAT